TTACTGCAGCCAGCTGTGCGAAATGACACACACACACACACACACACACACACAAACTTGGACAGCTCGTCCGAACAACCCTTCCATGCCGTTTTTTGTCGTCATCTTCTCGCCCAACCTCTAACTTTACTTCATTTAAAAAGCCTTATATGTATTTGTCTAACCACGCCGATTTTTGTTTTTTTCGCCAAATTTACGCTATTTTAGATTATTCATTCCAGATCATTCTTCTAAAACTAGACACTCCAAATTTATCATACTCTGTGCCTTAGAGGGATGTGACAACGTTCGGTGCCAAAAGCTGAGCAGATCTTTTTATACTGTCCCTCAGTAGTTGTACTACTCTGATCCGTATCATTTTCCCGACGTAATTATGGCATTCAACAGGTGCTACGACTCTTTCTGGTGTCATTCAGTCATTGAAAGAGAGTACTGAAAAAAGATTGAAATTCCAAAGAGATGTGACATGACGTGGACATTTTTGGGATGTATCTGAAAAGATGAAAATTGCTGAGTTCCTTTGTCGAGAATCACGTGGGGTACGGTTGATAACTTTCACTCCTTCCACGATTACTTTTTTTATGTACGCAGTTTTTTTTATTAGAAACTATTATTTCATGGGCATTGGACTAAGCAGGTCAAGGGTTCACTAGACGGCTTTTATACGTAATTGTGGAAAGGAACTGCTTGGACTAGTCACGTAGCTGAAGGGACAGATCACAAGAAATGATTTCTGAGGTATCTCTTAGATTGAATCTGTGGCATCTAGCTATATCTAGCTGACTGCCACTGTAAAATCGTAAAACGGCCCTGGTAGGGCTCAATCATAGTTCAAGGATTGTATGAAATGTACGCCAATCCTAGAGGTGGACGAGTTTCTACGGCGATATAGAAGATGGACCATACGCAAAGGACATCCATGTCCAAGATTCGAAGACAGTTAAAGGCAATTCGGGCATTTTCAGCTCGACTTAGCGAGCTTATTGCGGAATTGCAACAACTGGAATTTCGTGCCCATTCTATTCCATTTACGTTCCATGGTAATCTCGTACAAACCCTACTTTCACTACTTTCAAAAGGCCTAATAACTCCCGAACTCGGTCAGTTTTTTTCGCTTTCTCATCCACCGATGCACTAATCTGCACGAGCACATTCGCTTCACAATTCAAAATGGGTACTCCGAAATTATCCTGAAATGTGGCTTTAAACTATCCACTAGTTCATTTATGCCATTTACTATTTGGTATCCGAACAATAAAGTTAGTAGCAGTAAGATATTGAGCCCTCTTCGAACAGATCGGTTACTTTTGAGCAGAATTACTTTCTATACTTCCAGAGTTACTTCAGTGCGTAGTACTTGGTAAAACACCTGCCCAAGGAGATGGAGCTGAACGATAGTCTTCACATTCTCACTTCTGGTAACACTGTGCGTTCGAACGCCATGTAGTCATATCTCTGTGCTTCTTAATAGGCGACCGAACGCTTCAAAAAGAGGGTTCACGTGCCGTTCCATATCATTACATTAGTTTTTTTTACTTGTTTCCCATGCGACGCATTTCGTTGCACTGAAAGCGTTATCACGAAAATGTCATGATAAGAGGTAAACGATCGCAATCAGTCCAGATCTGAACACCCACCCAAGAACATGATAAACATCTCACGAGAAGCCGAGGGGAAGCATTCTGGATTCCCAACAGTTCAATGTCAATGCTACTATAGAGCAGAAGCTTGGATGTACTAGGTCTATTCAGTATTCAATACCCTTTTGATGAGTTCCATTGGCTATGTGTAGACCTAAGCCCTGGCATAA